CCCCCCCCCTTTTTACCAATTTTTTCATTTGTTCACTTATGTACGCTGTTTAGAATTTTAGCATCCTTTAAATCACTTCACGGTTTCATCAAGGCGTACAGGATCAGAGTATCCATGTACAAATTAAAGGTAAAGGGGGGGGGGTCAAAATCGTTCCTTAATATCAGAGGTATCTGCAAAATACTAAAAGTTCTGTAAAACTAGACCTGGACATAGGATTTAATTAAATTCTCACATGCTCAGTTATGTCGAAATCTCAGCTAAGCGCGTGAATTCGTCAAATACACCTGTGTTCGACAACTATACTTGATGATTAAAATTTATTGCTGATCTGTCCTATTGAACGATTCTTGGACCCCCCCCCCTCCTATCAATCTTGTACAAGACTAAATTAGTATGATTTTATAATTATTTAGGGTTAGGCGAAGTTATACACTTTCTGGGCCGAGCCCTGCGACTAGGATGAGCCAGGGGCCGAGTGCCGCGGCCACTGGTTCAGCTTGTTAGGATACTTTCAGGGCCGAGCGCTGCGGCCGCATTTCTTATATTTGAGATTCATGTCATTTAAGATCCATGTACAAAATCGAAAAGAAAGAAAAGGCCCCCCCTCCCCGGGCCCAAATCGTTCCCTAGGAATTTATACCTTTCTTATTTTAACATTATAAGAAAACCATCAAATAGATCTATGGTATAGATCTATCGGTTGAGCTTCCGACCATGTTTTAACCTGTAATTGGGAGGACCTCTGATCGATTGATCCTATTGACCTTAAGAGTTTCTTACCGATCTGTACTGCACAATACAGCTTTGGGAGGACGGAGAAATGTGTGCAGCCATCTTTGTCAAACTGCTCCGGCGCGTCCTCTCGTTCAAAATCGACCAGAAAAGGTCTTTGAACTATTTTCACTATAAATGATATATCGGCTGTATTTCTCCGATACCATGATGATAATGACTCTATGATGTGTGTGAATCTATGCGCAATTTTACTGCGTATAATTCTCTACTCTATCCTCTCGTTATTTGTTGATTGTTGATGGAAGACGACAACCAAGGCTGCTTTTTCACATTCGTTAACACTGTTCAACGTATTCATTAAATTGTTTTACAATTATTGATCCAGGAGGAGAAGGAGATAAGAAAAGAATTCAGGAAATTGGATTCTGATTCTAGTGGATATATTACCAGAGGTTAGTAGATATATTACCAAAGGTTAGTGGATATATTACCTTAGGTTAGTTGATATATTACCAGAGGTTAGTTGATATATTACCAGAGGTTATTGGATATATTACCACAGGTTAGTTGATATATTACTAGAGGTAAGTGGATATATTACCAGAGGTTAGTAGATATATTACCAGAGGTTAGTGGATATATTACCAGAGGTTAGTGGATATA